GTGCAGTTGCAGCCGTAGCAGTTGAGAGTAGACGAGGAGTCACGGCCACTCCAGGAGAGGGTAGAGCAGGAGTCCCGCCCACTGCAAGAGAGATTAGCGGAGGAGTCACGACCGCAGCAGGAGAGGGTAGCGCAAGAGTCCCGGTCGCGGTAGCGGGCGGGTGCAACTACAGCCACAGCAGGAGAGGGCAGAGGAGGAGCCACAAGAGCTGAAGCAGGGGCAGGTACCGTCGCAGCAGACGCCAGAGGAGGTCGAGCAGCACCGATCTGCCTGAACGTGCACCTGCACGCTTGGTTCGTGGTCCCCCACCGTCCCCTCCTCTTCCCCCCGTCCAGTCCCTTTCCTTGTCCCAGTGGATTCGTCGTTCTCCCCTTAGTCGTGCTGTGTCTCCAGAGCCCCGTCGGTCTCGTTACCGTGCAGACACCCGTTTCAACTTGTTCTCCGCTCTCGTGTTCCACCCCCTCCAGTCCTTCTACAGCCTCCTGAGTCGCCCCTCACCGTGCTTCACGAGCCATTGTCCGGCTACCTCCGTGCCTCCTGTCCTGTCGTCTCCCGAGTTTTGTCTGCGTTGGTCACTCACCCGACTGCACCCCCGTCACTTGTCTCAGCTCTTGGCACCACTGTCGCCGACTTTGCCTCTTTCCACTGCCTTGACTACGCCGCTCACCTGGTGAGTGGCCCTGCTTGTTCTCTGTCCTCTGGGGGTGCTCTTGTCTTTCCCTTGAAGGTCATGGAGGACAGGCAGTTTGAGCTTGGTTTCCTTACGGCCGATATTCCTCATCTCTGCTCCATGCTGCTTGCCCCTGAGGGGGATCCAGAGGCTCTTGACATCCCGATCTCTCGCAATAACGCTGAGGCGGTCTCGGGACCTTGGGTCTCATACTGAATAACAGATAAGGAGGGAGAGATGACAGCTTATAGGTCCACAGGCACTTACATTGACGCAATCCCCACCACATGGGACGAACGTCGTCAGTGGCCAATGGCTCTACAAGGTGAAGCGGCCGCCTAGATCACCACCAGTGTTTAAGGCGTGCTATGTTGCGAGAGGCTTTAGACAGCGAGAGGGGGTGGACTTCTTCCATACCTTCGCTCCCACCCCGAAGATGACCACTCTTCAGGTGTTGCTACATATTGCAGCCCAGCGTGACTACGAGTTGCACTCCTTGAACTTTTCCACCGCGTTCCTTCAGGGGAGCCTGCACGAGCAGATCTGGCTGTGTCGCCCGCCTGGCTTCACTGGCTCTTTCCCTCCTGGGACCCAGTGGCAGCTGCATCAACCAGTCTACGGCCTGCACCCGGCTCCACGTGAGTGGAACGACACACTTCGCTCGACCCTTGCAGCGCTTGACTTCTTTCCGTTGTCTGCCGACCCGTCACTGTTCGTCCGCCGTGGCTCGACCCTGTTCTCTGTCCTGGTCTGCGTCAACGACCTGGTGTTCGCCACCCCCGACTTACTTGCGCTGGCCTCAGTGAAGGAGGAACTGCAGAGGAGATACACTTGCACTGACCTTGGTGAGCTGCAGCGCTACCTTGGCCTGGAGATCACTAGGGCAGCTAGCACCATTACGCTGACTCACTCACATATGGTCGAGCAGATCCTCACGCGGTTTCGCTTCCCGTTCTCCAAGGTACAGCCCACCCCTTTTACTGTGGATCGTGGGCTCACGGTTCCACCTTTGAACGAGCCATTTGAGTCCAGTGGTCCATATCCTGAGCCGGTGGGTTGTCTCATGTACCTGATGACGTGTATTCGCCTAGACCTAGCTTACCCGCTTAGCGTCCTTGCGTGCGTTGTCACACCTGGGAGACACCGACCGTCCCACTGGTATGCTGCTAAGAGGGTGACGAAGTATGTGGTGAGTACATCAGGGATAGGACTTGTCCTTGGAGGGAAGCAACCAGTTATACTCACAGGTTACTCGGACTCGTCGTGGGTTGACTACGCGGAGACACGTCGATCTACACAGGGGTACTCCTTTAGCCTCGAGACAGGTGCTGTTTCATGGCGGTCGACTCGGGTGTTGTCCGTCTTCGGTTTCAGCTGTGAGGCAGAGGTGTACGTTGCAGCCATGGCCACTCATGAGCTTTGCTGGCTGTCTTTCCTCCTTACCGACCTTTGTGAGCGGCCTCGCTCTCCCCCAGTCTTGTTCGCTCACAAGAGGTCTGCTGTCCTGTTGTTTGAGGAGCCGCGACTGGTTGTGAAGGCGAAGCACATCCAACTTCGTTACTTCTTTCCGCGTGAGTTGCAGCAGTGTGGCCAGTCACTCGTACGACGTGTGGTCTCTGAGGCCAACACGACAAATATCTTCACCAAGGCGTTGCCGCCTTGTGACCACCAGCATTTTTGCACCCAGCTTGGCCTTGTGCCTACCCGTCCTCACTTGCTTACGTAGAGATGCCTTGTCCTGCTTGTCTTGTAGTCTTGCATCTCCATATAATTGCTATATACATGTATGTGGACTGACCTTGTGGCCTCTTGCTTGCTCTCGGGGTGTGTGGTGACTTTGAGCTCCACCCTGAGATTTGCTTTGTTCTTGTGGACTGGTCTTGTGACACTTGCTTGTTTTTGCTAACTATACATGTGACCCTTGCTTGCTCTCAGACTATGTGTGTCCTTGAGACGCACCCTGAGATTTGTGTCGTTTTCCACAGGACTATTGTCACCTAGACTATGGGGGTGTGTCAACAAATAATTCAAGTTTATGTTAGTCTAGGTGTAACATTTCCTAAATGTTTGGGTTTTCTATATCTTGTTGCACCTTCTCTTTCCTTAGTCAAGTCTTCACACGTCACCTTTCGACACTGTGGCTGCGGGTAGACAAACAGTCGGCGCGGCGCAGTACCCGTATTGTCAGCAGCCCCAGCACCTCCAGTACCTCCAGCTCCAGCACCTCCAGTAGCACCTCCAGCACCTCCAGCACCAGCAGTACCACCAGCTCCGGCATCTCCAGTACCTCTATGACGAGCACCTCCAGGACCAGCAGCTCCAGCACCTCCAGTACCTTAAGTACCTCTAGCTCCAGCGCCTCCAGCACCAGCAGCACTACCAGCTCCGGCAGCTCCAGCACCTCTAGTACGAGCACCTCCAGGACCAGTAGCTCCAGCACCTCCAGTACCTCCAGGACCTCTAGCTCCAGCGCCTCTCGCACCAGAGACACGGGGCTTGAGGCTGAGCTGATGCGCAGCGTATCGGACCGCAAACGGCCACAGAAAATGGGGAGCAGCCGCATGGATCATGGAGGTACGAGCAACTTCCATGATCAAGCCAATACAACGCCCAGCATCCCATTTTTTTGCGGAGAGGCTAGAAGCGTGAACGACTGGACGATGACCTTGTCTCGTCAGAACTCCGCAAGGAGGTCGGAAGAGAACTTACTGTCAAAATCATATGCTATAGTCTGTGTAGGCTGTAGTGGGGTAGACAATATGGGGTACAACACTTCTAGGTTTTCCTACTTGTACTCACCTGCTTGCTAGTTCATTCATTCCTCATTCTTCACATGGTATAGAGCAGGTTCCCTAGTGGGAACGCTTTCTTGGGCCCACCACTGAAATTTTTCTCTCTGACTGGAGCGCCAGTCACTCCTGCCCGAGGCGCGCCTTTTTCGCCGCCCTTTCCAGGCCCCTAGTCACCCCTAGCGGCCTCGTTGCCGCCCTCCACGCGGCCCCGTTGCCGCCCCTAGCGGCCCCGTTGCCGCCTCTCACCCTACGCGGCCCCGTTGCCGCCCCTACGCGGCCCCGTCGCCGCCCCTACGCGGCCCCGTCGCCGCCCCTAGCGGCCCCGTCGCTGCCCCTAGCGGCCCCGTCGCCGCCTCTTACCCTACGCGGCCCAGTCGCCGCCCCTACACGGCCCCGTCGCCACCCCTACGCAGCCCCGTCACCGCCCCTAGCGGCCCCGTCGCCACCCCTAGCGGCCCCGTCGCCACCCCTAGCGGCCCCGTCGCCACCCCTAGCGGCCCCGTCGCCGCCTCTCACCCTAGGCGGCCCCGTCGCCGCCCCTACGCGGCCCCGTCGCCGCCCGTAGCGGCCCCGTCGCCGCCTCCCACCCTACGCGGCCCCGTCGCCGCCCCTAAGCGGCCCCGACGCCGCCTCTACGCGGCCCTGTCGCTGCCCCTAGCGGCCCCGTCGCCGCCCCCCCTTCCTACGTGGCCCCGTCGCCGCCACTACACAGCCCCGTCGCCGCTCCCCTGCCTAAGCGGCCCCGTCGCTGCCCCTAGCGGCCCCAAAGCCGCCTCTACCGAGCAGCCCAGCAGCAGAGCCGCCGAGCCGCCCAGCAGCCGAGCCGCCTAGCCGCCGAGCCGCCCGACAGCCGAGCCGCCCAGCAGCCGAGCCGCCGAGCCGCCCAACAGCCGAACCGCCGAGCCACCCGACCGCCGAGCCGCCCAGCAGCCGAGCCGCCCAGCAGCCGAGCCGCTGAGCCGCCGAGCCGCCCTGCCGTCGAGCCGCTACCAGTCCTACCGGCGCGCCCCGGCCCTACTTACACGTACTGGTGAGCTCACTCCTTGCTAGACCTCTGCAGTCATGGCTACCCCCAGTGTTCTTACCTTTGACACTGAGGGTCGTGCTGTTGACTTTGAGATCTAAGTCAATAACCTTCAGCTGTTCCTCCAGTGCGATAGGGCAGACGGCCTCTCTCTGTTCAACCTCACCTCTGGTGCCTCCCCTGCCCCACCTGCTACTGCTGACATCACTGTTCGCTCACAGTGGGCCACGCGCGATGCTGCTGCCCGTCTTGTTGTGCGTCGCCACTTACCGACCGCTGAGCGTGCACACTTTAGCCAGTACAAGAGTGCTCAGACCTTGTACGACGCTTTAGTTGCACGCTACTCTTCCCCTGCCACTGCTGCACTGAGCCGCCTCATGCTACCGTACCTCTTCCCTGTCCTTGCTGCCTTTCCCACAGTCGCTGACCTCATTACGCACCTCCGCACTAGTGACACTCGCTACCGCGCTGCGCTCCCTGCTGAGTTTTGCGCCAAGAACCCCCCCCCCCCCCCATGTACATCACCCTCTACTACATAGTCACCCGGCTCCCTGACTCTCTTCGCTTAGTCAGGGACCACTTCCTCTCAGTTTGCCCCACCACTCTCACCGTTGACCTCCTCGAGGAGCGCCTCCTAGCAGCAGAGAAGAGCATAGTAGCTGTAGGAGCCTCTCGTGGTGACCCTCGCACCCCCGTCTTTGAGGGGTGTTCCCCCTCCCCCCTCTTGCCCTCTGTTGCTTCTGCTGCTGCTGCCGACCTCGTTGATTTCTACGGGGTCGGCGCTGCGTCTGCCCCTAGCGGGAGGCGCCGCACCGGCAAGGGCAAGGGGGGCAAGGGAGCTGGAGGGGCTAGCGGGGGCGGTGGAGGTGGTGGTGGAGGCACTGGAGGGGGTGGGGGTGGTGGTGGGAGTGGTGGCGGGGGTGGCGGCGGCGGTGGCAGCAGTGGAGGCAGAGGAGGCGGCGGTGGTGGCGGAGGGAGCGGAAGTGGCGGAGGTGGCGGAGGCGGCGGAGGCGCCGGCAGCGGCGGCGGAGGCGCCGGCGGCGGCGGCGGTGGTGGAGCTTCTCGCGAATCTACGCAGAGGAGTGGGTCCGGTGGTGGTCCGCGCCAGCAGCATCAGCGCAGTCGTGAGACCCTGTCCCCTCAGCAGCTTCGTGAGTGGTACGCTGTGCGTCGGCGCGGTGGGGGTACTGGTCCCTGCACTTACGTTCTCCGCACCTGCGACCGCGCTGGTGAGCAGTGCGGGGGCCCGCACTCCACCCAGCGCTGCTTCGGCCGCCTGACGGACGCGTGGCGTCACCAGTTCCCTGAGGCGTCAGAGATCCGTTGCTGGGGAGATCTATCTAGGGCGGGGGTTGCCATCTTTGATCTTAACTATGATGCTATTCTTGCTGCCATATATGGTGTGACTGTTAGTGTTGAGGGTGACTGTTACCTGTGTGTTCCGCCTGACCCGGGCATTGAGGCTGCTGCTCTAGGTGCTGGTGAGGCTGCTGCCCCAGGTGCTAGTGCGTCTGCTGCCCCAGGTGCTAGTGAGTCTGCTCTCTCAGGTACTACGTCGGCTCAGGCCTTACACACCTTCACCCTTGACTCGGCTGCTTCCCGCTCCTTCTTTCGCGACCGCACCACGCTTACGCCGCTTAGTCGGCCAGTTGCGGTCTCCCTGGCGGACCCCTGTGGGGGTCCTGTCCTTGCTAGCTTCTCCACTAACTCACTGTGCCCGGCAGCCCCCTCTGGCACCCTATCAGGTTTCTACCTCCCCTCGTTCTCTACAAACTTGGTGAGTTTAGCTGACCTACTGGATAGGGGGGTTGACCAGTTCACTCCTGCATGTCAGCAGGTGACCCACTGCACGTGTGCTCGGACAGGCCGACACTTGGCCACGTTCACCCGTTGGCCAGGGTCGAGCCTGTACACACTTACTAGTGAGTCTCCTCCGGCTGCTGCATCTTATCAGGTAGCTGCGTCGAGTCAAGTGTTTGCTGCAGCGTCCAGGTCTTGTCCTGAGTCTGCTCCCTGCTCGTGTCGTCTCCTGTCCCACCAGACTCTCCTTTGGCACCACCGCCTTGGTCACCCCTCCCTGCCTCGCCTCCGAGGCATGGCCTCCCGTGTCCTTGTCTCTGGTCTCCCCCGATCTCTCCCTCCCCTACCTCCGGGGCCTGCCCCTACTTGCGTCCCATGCGTCGAGGGGCGACAGCGCGCTGCCTCTCACTCCTCCGAGTTTCCTCCGACGGAGGCTCCGCTGCAGACTCTTCACATGGACGTGTGGGGCCCCGCCCGCGTCCGTGGATAGGGGCACGAGCGTTACTTCCTGTTGGTGGTTGACGACTACTCGCGTTACACCACAGTCTTCCCCTTGCGCAGCAAGGGCGACGTCACTGAGGTGTTGATCGACTAGATCCGCGCAGCTCGTCTCCAGCTCACAGAGAGTTTCGGCTCGGACTTTCCTGTTCTGCGTCTGCACTCTGACAGAGGCGGGGAGTTTTCCTCTCCCCGTCTAGGAGCCTTCTGTCGAGCACAGGGCATCCGCCAGACCTTCACGCTTCCGGCCTCTCCGCAGCAAAATGGGATTGCTGAGCGCCGCATTGGCATGGTCATGGACGTCGCTCGTACGTCCATGATCCATGCGGCTGCCCCCCATTTTCTGTGGTTGTTTGCAGTTCAGTACGCAGCGCATCAGCTCAACCTCCAGCTCCGGGTCTACTTGCCAGAAACCTCCCCCACCCTGCGGTGGACGGGGAAGGTTGGCGATGCGTCTGCGTTTCGTGTCAGTGGGATCTCGGGCGTTTGTCCGCGACTTGTCTGCGGACGAGCTGTCCCCCCGTGCTGTTCCCTGCGTCTTCCTTGGCTTCCCCCCTGACGCGCCTGGTTGGCAGTTTTACCACCCCACCTCGCGCCGTGTTCTGTCCTCCCAGGACGTCACGTTTGACGAGTCGGTGCCTTACTACCGTCTCTTCCCCTACCGCACTGCGCCCCTCCCCCCGCCGCCGCTCTTCCTTACGCCAGGTCCTCCCCCAATAGACCCCCCCCCCCTCAGGGTCCTGCCCCGTTAGGTGTGTCCCAGGTAGACGCAGTCGAGCTTGTCGAGGTAGCTGTTCACTCTAGTGCTGCTAGAGGTGCTGAGCCTGCGGGTGCCGGGTCTGGAGGTGCTAAGCCTGAGGGTGCGGAGCCTGGGGGTGCTGAGTTTAGGGGTGGGGAGCCAGGGGGTGCTGAGCTTGGGGGTGCTGAGTCTGGGGGTGCTGAGCCTGGGGGTGCAGAGTCTGGGGGTGCTGAGCCTGGGGGTGGTGGGTCTGCTCGTGTGGCCTCGCGCGGTGCTTCTTCGAGGCAGGAGCCTCTCTCTCCGCAGGAGCTGCACGAGTGGTTTGCCCGGCGCTGGAGCCGTCCTGCTGGAGCTGGAGGTACTACTGTTGCTGCTGGTGCTGCTGGAGGTACTGCTCGAGCTGCTGGCGGTACTGGAGCTACCGGTCCTGCTGGAGCTGGAGCTGCTGGGGGTGTTGGCGCTAGTGGTGCTGGAACAGGAGGTGCTGCTGGCGCTGGTGCTACCGCTGGAGGTACTGGTGCTGTCCCTGCTGGTTCTGGAGGCGCTACGCGGCCGAGGCTGTACTTCGTTCCGCTCCTTGAGCAGGTTCTTGGTATTCCGCCTTCTACTGGTCCTGCCCCTCCCTTAGCATATCCACCGCCTGTCCAGTCGCAGTCACAGTTACAACCCGCCTCCCCCCTGCCTACTCCTTCTCCCTACACTGGTCCTACTGGAGGTCTTGCTGAGCGTCGTGAGCCTGCGTCTAGTCCTGCGTCGCCTGTTCGTGCTGCTCGCACGGGTGGTCGTAGTGCACGTCCGCGTCCTCCTGCGGTCCCATGCACACACTAGATGGCACTGCGTCCTTCCACTGCTCCTCTGCGTGTCCCGTTGACGTCTCCTCCAGAGTCCTCTCTTCCTACTCTTGTTGACCCAAAGTCTGACTCTCCTCGTGCTGCCAGTCCTTTTGTCACGCGTCTTCAGGCTTCTGTTGTCACTGACCCTTCCTTTGAGTCCACTGCTGCGTCTGCCCTAGTTGCTGAGCTTGTCGACTTCGCTGCTCGCTGTCGTCTAGACTACGCTGCTAGTCTTGTTGCTGAGTCTGAGTCTGTCTGTCCTCCGTCCGTCGGGGGTGAGTGTGCTCTTAGCACGGACTTCCTTGAGGACAGGCAGGAGGAGTTCCAGTATTTTGCTGCTGCTTTGCCTCATCTCGTGTCCACGCTGATTGCCCTTGAGGGAGACCCGGATGCACCAGACATCCCGACTCCTCGATCGTACGCTGAGGCGATCGAGGGTCCCTGCTCCTCTCAGTGCAGTCAGCCATGGACGCAGAGATGGCTTCCTAGAAGTCCACAGGCACCTACGTCGACGAGGTTCCCCCACCTGGGGCGAACATCGTCAGTGGCATGTAGATTTTCAGGGCAGCCTACACGAGGAGATCTGGCTGCGCCGCCCTCCTGGCTTCACTGGGTCGTTTCCTCCTGGTACCCACGAGAGCCTCCGGCGGCCAGTCTACGGTCTACGCCACGCGCCCCGTGAGTGGCAGGACACACTGAGGACTACACTTGCGGCCCTTGTGTTTGCTCCTTCTACAGCCGGCCCGTCACTGTTTGTGCGCACCGACACCTCTTTGCCACCGTTCTACATCCTCGTGTACGTCGACGACTTGGTCTTTGCCACTGCTGACACTGCTGGACTCGCCCACGTGAAGTCCGAGCTGCAAAAGAGACACAAGTGCACAGACGTGGGTGAACTGCGCAGCTACCTTGGCTTGCAGATCACCCGGGACAGAGCACAGTGCACCATTACCCTGACTCAGTCACACATGGTGCAGCAAGTCCTTCAGCGCTTCGGCTTCACGTACTCCTCGCCTCAGGCCACTCCTCTGTCTACTCGCCACTCGCTCTCAGCTCTGCCTTCGGATGAGTCCGTAGAGACGAGTTGCCCGTACCCAAAGCTTGTTGGCTGCCTCATGTACCTGATGACCTGCACTCGACCTGACCTTGCATACCCTCTTAGCATCTTGGCACGCTATGTTGCTCCTAGGAGACACCGACCAGAGCACATGGCTGCAGCTAAGAGGGTGTTGCGCTACTTGTGCAGTACGTCGGGCATGGGGCTAGTGCTTGGAGGGCGACGTCCAGTGGTCCTCACAGGTCACGCTGACGCTTCTTGGGCTGACGACCAGGCTATGCAGCGGTCGTCACAGGGTTACACCTTCAGCCTTGGCTCCGGCTCTGTTTCGTGGCGGTCTACCCGCTCGTCTTCTGTTCTCGGCTCCAGTTGTGAGGCTGAGATCTACGCGGGGGCCATGGCTGCACAGGAGCTACGCTGGCTCACCTACCTGCTGACTGACCTAGGAGAGCCGCCTCGTTCTCCTCGAGTTCTGTACGTAGACAACAAGGCCATGCTGGCCTTGTGTCGGGAGCACAGATTGGAGCACAGAACGAAGCACATTGCTCTCCGCTACTTCCTTGCTCGTGAGCTGCAGCAGCGTGGTCAGCTACGCCTTGCTTACGTGGCCTCTCAGGCCAACACTGCTGATATCTTTACCAAGGCACTTCCGCCTGGTGATCATCAGCGCTTCTGTACTATGCTAGGTCTTGTGCCTACTTGGCCTCACTTGCTCACTTCTTGACCTTGCTTGTACTGTGATCTTTCTATACCTGCACTTGCTTGTTTACCTTTATATATGATCTTGCATGTGAACTGGTCTTTTGGCCTTGCTCTTGTGCTCGGATTGTGTGGTGACGTTGTGATCCACCCTGAGCTTGCTTTGCTTTGCTTGACTGGTCTTGTAACCTCTTTTTCTCCCCCACTTTGCCTATGGGGGTGTGTCAAACTCATATGCTATAGTCTGTGTAGGCTATAGTGGGGTAGACAATATGGGGTACAACACTTCTAGGTTTTTCTACTCGTACTCACCTGCTTGCTAGTTCATTCATTCCTCATTCTTCACACTTACCGCTCCTGTCAGAGTGCAGACGCAGGACTGGGAGGTCCCACCGAAATTGCTCGCGCAGCTCGCGATGAGTACCGCTGATCCAGGGGTTCAAAACACCTCGGACGTCCGCCTTGCTGCGCAAGGGAAAGACCATGGTGTAGCGGATGTAGTCGTCAACGACCAGCAGGAAGTACCGCTCCTGGTCCATCCCACAGACGAGGGCCGGGCCCCACACGTCCATGTGGAGAGTCTGCAGAGGAACAGTGGTCGGAGGAAACGAGGAGGAGTGGGGAGTGGCGCGCTGTCGCCCCTGGATGCAGGGAAGTCACGACGTGGAAAGCAAGCGCGGGAGTGGGGGCAGGGACCCGGGAAGGCCAGAGACGAGGAGACGGGAGTGCATGCTGCGGAGATGCGGTAGAGAGGGGTGATCGAGTCGGTGGTGCCAGAGAAGAGTTTGATGGGAGAGTACCCGACACGAGCATTAAGCAGCGAACTGACCAGACGCATACACCTGACTCGACGCAGCCACCTGACCTGACGCAGCCACCTGTGCATGGTCAGGGTGTACAGACTGGACCCAGGCTGCCGAGTGAACGTAGCAAGGTGACATCCAGTCAGGGAACACGTACAGATCGCCACACGCTGCCCTCCTGAGATAAAGGTATCAACCCAAACATCCTGAAGGACTACGTTGCTCACCAATTTCATCGAGAACAAGGGGAGGTGGAGGCTTGAAAGAGAGCCGAAGGGGACTTTCGGACACGGGAGGACAGTGGAAGCTCGTGCGATGATGGGGCCCCCAGAGGGGTCAGCCAGTGAGACCAGGACCGGTGGAGTGAGTGGTCTGACTGTGGTGCAATCACGACAGAAGCAACGAGACGCGCCAAAGTCAAGTGTGATAGTGTCGAAGGCCTCACATGAGGCAGCAGACTCACTAGTACCTGTGGCAGCAGTCTCACTGGCACCTAGAGCGGTAGCAGACTCACTAGCACCTAGAGCAGCAACATCGACACTACCAAAGATGTGTCGCTGACACTGCTGCCGCTGCTGTCCAATACCTCTAGGACGCAGGAAATCCCTGTCAGAATGTAATTGTATACATTACTATAACTGCCTGTAGTGTAGACCTAGTGTAGTTATATTGCTTTCATGTTAGGTGGTGCACCCTTTTCCTTCACTATATCTTGTACAACTTTCTATAGTGAAACCCTCATTCTCCTTCTCAAACTTGCTCGATACTTTCCTTCAACTCGATCTTCTCCTACCTCACTAGCCATGGCTCCTAAGTCACGCTAGTTTCTTGACACGTTATCAGAGTGACCACGGTCCTTGCCTGTGGACCCGCCCCATTGCTTCCGCTGCTACTCTGTGTTCGGCACGCCCCGTGGCGTGCCCCTTAACCTTCTCTTAGCGGCCCTGTTGCCGCCCTTTCAGGCCCCTCGAGGCCCCTTCGTGGCCCCGTCGCCGCCCTTTCAAAGGCCCCTCGCGGCCCCTTCGCGGCCATGTCGCCGCCCTTACGCGGCCCCGTGCCGCCCTTTCAGGCCCCTCGCGGCCCCTTCGCGGCCCCGTCGCCGCCCTTTCAAAGGCCCCTCGCAGCCCCTTCGCGGCCCCGTCGCCGCCCTTACGCGGCCCCGTCGCCGCACTTTCAGCGGCCCCGTCGCCGCCCTTTCAGCGGCCCCGTCGTCGCCCGCCCTTCAGCAGGCCCCGTCGCCCGCCCTTTCAGCGGCCCCACCGCCGCCCTTTCAGCGGCCCCGTTGTCGCCCGCCCTTCAGCAGGCCCCGTCGCCCGCCCTTTCAGCGGCCCCACCGCCGCCCTTCCAGCGGCCCGTCGCCCACCCTCTCAGCGGCCCCGTCGCCGCCCTTCCGCGCCCAGTCGCCGCTCTTCATCGGCCCCAACGTCGCCGCCTCCAGCGGCCCCGTCGCCGCCACTTGCGGCCCTGACCCCGCCCCGGCCATGCCCCGTCGCGAGCCGCGGCACACCGGGGGCACGTGCACCGCCCCCCCCCCCCCCCTTTTCTCGTCACCTGTCGAGGCGACCTGAGGGGGCCGCGACTTGGAAGGGGGGGGCAGGCGTCGCCCCCTCTGCCGCCTGCTTTGGCGCCCGGGGAGGCCGTGCGTCGCCCCCCCCCCCCCCTCCCTTCCCCCTTCTCCTTCGTCTCCTTGCAGCTGCAGGGGGGAGGGTCTGGGGGTGGCGGGTGTAGGTGGTGTGTTTCCCTTCCCCTCCTCCTCCTTTCGTTCCCACTGCTGCAGCTGCCGCTGGGGGGAGGGTGTGAGGGTGTGGGGGAGCCGGGGGAGTGGCACTGGGGTGGCGGGTGTGAGACCAACCAGCACCCGTCCCTCCACCTCTCCTCTCTTCCCCCCCTCTGCTGCTCCTGCAGCAGTGTGTGGGGGAGGGGGAGGGAGAGGGGGAGGGTGAGGGGATGGAGTGGGTGACCAACCAGCTCTATTACCTTGTCTGTTGTTGCTGCTTTCTTTGCACTTGGTGTACCTCTGCAGGAGGTGTACTGCACACGGTTCTTCACTGCAGGCAGTTAGGGGGTGTGTCAGAATGTAATTGTATACATTACTATAGCTGCCTGTAGTGTAGACCTAGTGTAGTTATATTGCTTTCATGTTAGGTGGTGCACCCTTTTCCTTCACTATATCTTGTACAATTTTCTATAGTGAAACCCTCATTCTCCTTCTCAAACTTGCTCGATACTTTCCTTCAACTCGATCTTCTCCTACCTCACTAGCCATGGCTCCTAAGTCACGCTAGTTTCTTGACAATCCCAAGCTCCAGGACCAGAGCGGCCTCGCCGAACAATCCACACGCGAAGCCCTTACCACGAATCTGCCCCCGAAGTACAATTTGTCGAAGAGAAAGGCCCCGCCCTCGCTTGGGCGCAGCCGATCTCGCCGTTGACGGGAAGTTCTTGACGAATTGGTAGAAGTAGGCTTCTGCAGTTTGACGGAAGTTGCAATCGAGCAAGCTCTGCTTGACGGAATCTGGTCGACGAGCTCTGCGCGACGAGCTCTGGTCGACGATCTCTGCGCGACGAACTTTCGTCGAGGAACTCTGGTCGAGGAGTTCAAGTCGAGGAACTCTGGTCGAGGAGTTCGCGTCGAGGAACATTGGTCGAAGAGTTCTGGTTGAGGAGCTCTGCTTGGCGAACTCTGTTCGACCGAGCGATGGCAAGTCCTTCGACCGAAGTTGCAGAGTTCTGCGAAACTCTGCGGAGGCGTGCGAACTTTCGCCCAGGAGATTTTGGCGAAGTTCTACATGCGGAACGGCATCACGTGGTCGACGGTGCGCACCTGGCGAAACCGACGACACGTTTTCTACCTGGCACCTGCGCAATGTGCCTGACGGTGAAACCGCCAACCTGCACCTACTTGGTAGGTGCGCACATCTGCTCAGATAGACAACCTGCGACTGCAGAAAGTTACCTGCGACTGCAGATAGTCACCTGCGACTGCAGTGCTGGAA